AAATGTACTAACGTTTCGATGATGACGAAACCTTGTCAAAACGTTGTACATTTGCTGTTATGTTAAACTTATATTTAAGTGGCCAGGTGAGAGAGACTATTTTACATATCTAAATAATTGGAGTGTTATACACTTGTGTATGGATAAGATTCCTAATAAATGGACAGCCAGTGTAGCTACAAAAGCAAAAACTGTATTTCTGTTTTCAAAAATTATAGTCACAGTTGTCATAAATGTTGTCTTTAGTAAACAGAAGAAAAAAAACAACACTTGAATTTTAATATTCTATGTTTCATAAAAGTATTACCATTTATACTCTTCGATCATTTGAAATTCGTTTAGTTATACTAAACGTTTATGTATCTCGGTTAGACTGAGGCTTTATTTGGAATGAAACACAAGATTAACAAATAAAGAATAATGTAAATAGTCTAGAACATCAGTTATATATATATATTTTTTTTTAAAAAGTCAACCACGATGAAATTTGGTCACATATAATAATTCCTTGATATAATCTGAAGATTTTTTTAATAGCTCATCTAATCATTATTTTGTAGTTGATACCTAATGATGTTTGTTTTATGAAGTTTTATAAATTTATCATCTGTGTGAAAGGATTGTTCACGAGAATACTGCATTCTCAAGTTTTTAACGTTATTTAAATGTATTGAATTTAAATGGCCCAGAGAATTATTTCGAAAAAAAAATTCGTACAAATACATGATTTGATATACATTTTTAATTTCCTTTTTTCTTTCCTTTGATTTCGTTAAGAGACTTGACACGACTCATGTATAAAAGAAAGTTTATTTCATCACAATGTTTGATACTAATAGGTCACACAAAGGTGTATACTAAACTATACATCTGTATCGAAGCTCACAAGTACAAACATAGAATAAACAAACACCGTACAAAACATTTCCGTAATGGCATCACTGAATACCCCTTTGAAATGTGGTGCCAACTTTTCCATGTCTCTGAAGGAAGTAATAAATCTGTTTAATCATATCCTGGTTTATTACGTCCGTGGAAATGCACTTTATATTCTCAAATGAACGAAAAGTTTTTTAAAAAATCAATCATTTTGGGAAAATAATGATCTCTTTGTGTACAGTGCTTGTTCTAAATCTACATATATTTTACTGATATTGAATCACAAGGTTATTATAACGTGTTATTATATATATATATAAATATTTGTAAACAGTAGCAATAACAAAAATAACAGTCATAAACAAGTGTACGGTCTACTTATAAAGGTTATTCAAGCATTGATGTGATAATGAAAGATGCAACTAAAACGATAAACGTACGAGATGTTAAACAGTTATCGTGTTTAATTAATTACATCAAACTTAGAGAAGAATTCTGGGCACTTTTCATACTAACTGATATGAAACAACTGAGATTCTAAGTTAGTTCTTAAATCGTTCTAGAAACATAAAAACATCCTTTAATGAATATTACAAAAAGAAAGCTTGTTTTAAACTGTTTATCAATTAATTTCTTGGCATTGTCTTCACTACATATCTGGAAAATCGCGTTTTGAATATTTCAAATACCATATTCAGAAACAAAATAAACTGTTGTTTTTCAGTATTAAAATCATAATCCTCGTGAGCATTATATAAAAATTACACTTGTACGACAAAAGAATCGACAAATGGAACCCGATATCATAAAATAATACTCATTTGATATTATGGGAATGTCAGTTTCCTTATTTAAAGTTCAGATTAAATATATAAACAAACGTAAATGTAAAATTGTGTTGGAAACATAACATCGTTTTTTTTTTATTATTAGTGTTGTTGTATTTAATGCTAAACAGTTTACTGGTCTTCAACGAGAGATTGTGTTTACTTTAGGCAACTTTTAGTGTGCAAAAATACACGGCTGGTTTATTAGTTTTATAATGTGTCAGGATTTGTACACTGTATGAGTAACTATAAATACTTTGTATAATGTGTTTGAGGAGCCTATTAAAGGTTTTCTTTAATGAATTCAATAATTAGCATACACCTGAAAAACTAGAAATTGTCAAGTAAGTCATGTTGAAGCACTTTTAACTTGTAATCTGCGATGTTATAAGAAATACTGTTGTAAGTTATATTTTTAATATTGTAATTTAAGTTTGAGCTAGAGGGAACTGCGGATCTTAATGTTGAAGTTAGCATCAGAAGGTTAAAATCAATAAATAATATTCAACGTTAAACTGGTACACAATTAAAAACATTTTAGGATGACGTTGTAACGTCGAAACATGTAGAGTCGTCAACTTTTGGAAGGCCCTACATAGGCCTAAATAAGATATATTTCATTGTGTACCAGTTTAACGTTGAATATTATTTATGATTTTAACCTTCTGAT